ATTGAAATATGCTGTAAAATGCAGAGCTGTCAACGCCATTCTCTACCAACAAGCCTAGAACAGAAACGCAAATCCAGACACTGTACCTCCTTGCTGGAGCAGAAATACTCCAACTGCTGCTACTAGATAGCCCAAACTAAGCTTTTCTTTATTAAAAAAAAAAAAAAAAAAGGTATTTGGAGCAACAGTAAGATTCTAGAAATAAAATCATTCTTCCTGTAGTATCAGAATAAATCAGAGATATATCAGTGTTAAACACAGCTAAAGAAAACAACACTTTGCTACCGCAGAGGTTCGTTTTCTGAGCAATGAACAGCTGCAGATGTATTTAATCTGTTGCCCCAAAGTTGTACTATATCATTAAAGACTATATAACACTATATAGTAATAACAACACATGCATACACAACCAAATATTTTCTGTAGCTAAAAAATGTGCATATTTTCCTTTCATCTGGTTTGTTGTTCTCACTTGTACTCTCAAATTGCTACAGCTCCCCAGATAAGTCTCCCTCTCCTACACTGGTGGTGGCAGATCTCCACCTACTTTCAAGTTCCCCAGGTTGCCTAACAGAGGCTGTAGTCGAGCCTTCAGTGCTTTAATACTGCCACCTGACGTCGTGGGATGGGGTTACACGCTCCTTTTGCAGAAGGCAATGAGCTCGAGATGCCTTCAGTCCCCGCTTTGGAAGACACAGGGTAAGCAGACTGCTCACCCAGCTTGGAATTTTGCGACATCTCCTTTTTTGCCAGGGTCTCCATTCTTCACATGCGTGCACAAACTCACTACCTGCTTCCATCTAGGGTAACAACAACACAACAAACTGAATAGGGATTCTTCCCAATTACATTTTTACACTGTCTTTAAATATCACAGATCTGTGCAAATATTTTTACTTTTATAATATATTCCAGAAATCACTGAAAATTTTGAAGTTGTCTGCTATTATTTTAAACTTCTGTCAACTTCTTAATATAGGTTTCATTGAATACATCACATCATTCTTCAGACAATGTGCTTTGGATAAATTTTGCTTGATTCATTTCCTTGGCCTTTAGCAGATATAAATCTGTACTTACATTTGTCTATCAGAAACTGGACTACTAGAGATGATCCCCTGGGTTAGGATGTAAGTTCATGTTTTCCAGTTGGTTACCTCCCGCACAATTCAGTGCTTCCATAGAATGGGAGATGTTCTCCTGTGCTTGGGAAGGACTCCTCCCTCTCAGCTACATGTCCTGCAGTATATGCCATGGAATAGATTTCCCAAATAAAACAACTTTCCTGAAGTTATCCCTGGGAGATCAGCAGTCCCTAGGAAGGGGACTGGCAGCAGGCTGGCTAGTTGTTTAGTTGGCTCTTTGCAGACTGCCAGCATACGTATACTGGACTGACTGAAAATGTTCCTCTCTTCCATGCTCTGACAGGGCTCTCCTGGCTGGGAGGAGGCAAGCTTCCTCCCACAAAATCATGACAGTTGTGACTCTCTGTTTATGGTAATGAACAGAGATGAGGGCGTAGCAGCTCCAAGGGCAGCCACAGGAGCCCAAGGGTGAGCTGGTTGGGCTCAATGATCTTAGTGGTGTCTTTCAACCTCAGTGATGATTCCATCAGTTGTGCTCTGTCATTTGGAGGTCCAGGCTTATCGGTGCCAGCCTCATGGAGCACGTGCTTGATTCACAAGGGATTAAAACAGCAGCCATGGTGAGCAACAGGGTGATGTAGGATAGGGTGCCTCTCAGCACCTCAGTTTAGGTAGAAAACCCAGTTGTATACCTGCATTTTGGCCTCTCTGGGTCATTTCCTTCCAGGCATCCCTAGAACTGTTTCACTTGCGATTATGTTTGATCACAATTGATTTTCCAGCTTATCAGCAGAAGCTCAGGACTATTCTAGATGGGTTCTAGTGACAAGTTTTAACCAGTGGAGTTTTTAGGTGTTTCTTTTCAAACAAGAAGGGACTAGCAGTGACCATTCTTATGAGGAGGGACCATCCTGATGAACGTCCATCTGCTGGCCTTCATTGCTTCTCCTCAACATCTCACTGCTAAATGACATGTTTTAAATATTACAGTTGAACTTGATGATCCTTATAGATCCCTCCAAACCTGGGATATTCTGTGATTCTGATTCTGTGGCCTAAGTTCTAAGATGGATGAGATTATCTCAATCCTTTACTACTTTGCCTCCCACACCTGCTCTTCCCAAGAAATTTAGGGGCTGCTGAATGAGTTGTCAATAAACCAGAAGTGCAGATGTGAAATTTGTCAATTTTGAAACTTACAGAGTTGATACACAGTTAAGAATTAAAGCTACTTTCTAAGTAGCACTTAAAGATTTTAAAGGCTTTCACTGCTCATAGAATAAATACACTAAAAGCAAGTAGAACTGATCACTCTCCTTATACGAGACAAGCTACATTAAGTTATTCTTTTATGTTTCAGAAGGACAGAGGGGTTTTGCTCTCCTTGTCTGCTCACTTTTAACCTGCTCTTTATCTCCTCACTGTTTTTATTTTCTATCTTCACAGAAGCAGACACAGCATATATGGAAGCAATCACAGCAGTGTGCTTGTCAATCTGTTCACAGTTGGATGTTAATGACCTGTGGTCTCATGCATTTTTTACTTAGCTTCCCAGGCTGAAGGATACAGGAGAGGTTTATTTAAAGGGCAATCTAGCATAACCACAGCTTTGACTCCACTGCTCTCAACATGAGAGGGATCAGCAGCTCTGACAGCCTTAGATTTCCAAAAACCAGGATGATTTGACAGCACAATGTCCAGGCTGGCTGCAGAGGTTGCTATCAACAGCCACTTCCTTCTGCCCACCTTTCTTTCACAATTATTCCTCAGTGCTATGCTGGTTTCATGCTTATTACTGCCAAGTTCTAGCCTGTTCACAGCAAAATGAAGAGGGCTTAACGCAAAGCGTCTCTGCATCCAGCAGTGAAGCACAACAAAAAGGCCACTGACTGTTCGAGAATTCTGCTTCAACTGACTTGTCAGTCACTTCTATTACTGTTGATGTCTAACTTAGACCTTGATGGGCAAAAATCTAAATGAACAACTTTGCAGTTCTCTTTGCTAAGAAATGATTGGCGTTGCAAAATGCAAGAGGTGGGAAGGGATCTCTGGAGGCTGTATCGCAGGGCACTGTCAAGGCAGCTTTTGGAGATCTCCAAGGAGGAAGACTTTACAATTTCTTTTTTCCTCCAACCCTCTATTTTCAATCTGTCAACTGACTGGGGAAAACAAAGTGCTTTCTAACATGTTATCAAGTAAAAAAATACACACGTATAGCTTCAAGTATCAGTGACTTAAGCTTTTGTTCCTGAAATACAAAATAATTCACATATTTTTGACCTATTTTAGTATTCTAAATTTAGAACTAAAGGCCCAAGGATGCTAGGAATGCAAGTACATCCACCACATACAGCTACTGTTTCTGTATCAGTATCAAATCTGAATTTGGTCACCTCAAGCTACTCATACATCGATTCCAATAAAGGATTTAAATGTACAACCTTTATACAATCTTGATATCACCTCCTTGATTTTGTGTACTTTTGTAAACATTTGGACACTTACCTGCTCAGGTATTGACTCACATGGTTGATCACTAATTCATGAATTTGTAATTCCTCTGTTTGAGCAACAGCATTCATGCAGGTTGTAAATTATTTTCATATGCATGCACTGTTTTTACGCCTAACACAGCTCTAAAAAATTTTATTACTGACATTCGAAAGCAAATACAGGTAATTTTGTGACATAAACACCCAAACCTGTAACTAAAGCTTTTGTTTTCTATGCTGTTTTCTCTACGTTACAACAGATCGCTGCTGCTGACTGAAACCAGCTGACAGGAGTAAACAATACACACAGTAACGCAGGCATCCTATCTGTAACTTTAAACCTCCAAGGCACGTTGTTAAAGGCAATTTTGAAGGCTGTAAGAGCTCCTGGAAGCAGTACCACTGCTGTTCTTCCTTCTCTGACAAAATGACTTGTCAAACCATGGAACTAACTGAACACAAACCACTTCATCAGACCACCCTCCTCTGAAGACTCTTGCTTGTGCTATCTTTGAGTTTGTTAACAGATACTTGTGGGGTCTAACAACTTCCTACACCTACAGCTCCCAATGGGCAGTTTTGCTGCAGATGAGTAAGGATGTGAAGCTAAATATCCAAGAGAGAGCTCTTGAGCTGGTGGCTAAATTACTGGCCTCATGTTCGTACAACAAACCAAGGCTTTTAGAACAGCTTCAGGGCTCAGATGCCTGTACAGGACACTGAGTATACTGCCTAAGTTTGCCTTTCTGCACTTACAAAGAAGCAGGCATGACAAGGCTGGTTTGCTGCTGCATTTCAGGCTTGGTGGATTCTGCAACAGACAGTTCTCATCTAGGGTTACTGAGTGTTTGGATTCACTTGGAATAATTACTCTTTCGTAATTGCATTTCAGCACCCTCAGCCTGAACAGAAAGGTTTAATAGCACAAGAGATATCAAACACATGAGGAAAAAAACCAAGACTTTCATGCTGAAGTGTTCAAATAACCAGAAAGCAGAATATATCATAATGCTTTTTTTAACCCACAGCCTTTCCACTTTCACCACAAATGCTTTTTAACAAAGACATTTTAAACAAAAAGTTCATTGTTCAGCAAGAAAAAAAACAACCACTGTCAGACATGGTAACTGGCTGTCCCTTGAAGGCCTGTGCAGATCAATAAGTTAAAAGATGGAAATAAATCCACTGGGCACAAGAGCATCAATGAGGAAAAAAAACACAAAAAACCTATTAACACTCTATGGTAACAATGCTCTGTTAAGGGTTCTATTCTATTACAAATTCTCCTAACCAAACTCTTCCCAGCATTCTTGTGTCTGAAGTGTTTAACTCCTGTTCATATTAAATCCAACTCAGGATTAACCACAGAAAGGCTTGCAGGCAACGCAAAAGCTTTTTTTTTTTTTTTTTTTTTTAAATTTACCTTCTGCTCTCATCCACTGCTTTGTCCAACTGCTGGAAGATATCCTGGAATAAAATGCAGCTGGAGCGACTATTGATGTCATAGCCATATCCTCTCTTCCAATATTGCTTCAGGTCATTCAGGTACTCCAGTACCTAAAATTACACAGTTTACAAGTTTTTACTATTGCATACAGTGAGGAAAAAAAAAACAAAAAAACCAATCTGAAAGCCCACCACCTCATTAATGGAGCTTTAACTTCTTACTCCATGCGCATAATTCCACACTGAACACCAACTGCCACTGCATCACTGGGCAATTCAGCTTTGTAGGTCTTCCTGCAGAGCTGCTCAAACACCCCATATTCTACACGTGCCAAATAACCACTTAACCAGCAAGCTTTCCCACCCTCACTAAGTTATTAGAAGGGAACAGCACAAATTCCTGCTGACCTCCTCTTCTTTGAGAGGAGACCACTTCCTCCTGACTCCATTGTCCACCCTTTGGCCAACCACATCCCTGTGTAGGGGTTTCCTGTCTTAGGCAGGGCTGCTCAGCTTCCTTTAGGAGCCTCTGCAGGGGCCTTGCTGACCCTATTTTGCAGTGCAAAATAAATGGCATCATCCTTAATCCCCAAATCTCTCAATCTCTCCAAACGGTAATCAGGTGCTTTTTGAATAAAGGAGAATCCAAAGCAAGGCATATTTATCCAGGTTCTACTACTTTTATTAACAGGAATTAGATTTAGAGATCTGATGGGCTTCAAAGAAGAAGTCACAGAGGACCTAAAAGACCTTATTAGCTGTCTTCTAGTCAAGACATTTTATCATATAAAAATAATATATGCTAAACAAAGTTGTCCAGAGCATTTCAGGTGTTACAGAAAGAAAAAGCATTTCACGAATTAAGTGTGCAATAGGAAAAGATTATTTTAACCAGGACAAATTAAGGCTCTGCCAGTATTTAAGTCTGAATGAAGAAGGTATTTCAGTCCTACTGTTTGATTAACCACAGCTCTTTGGAGACCAATGCAGCGCTAATGAAGCACTGAACCTAATGAAGTTGAAGAACGAGGGGCACAGAATTTCTGACTGCCTACAAAACAATATGCAAACACTGAAGCATCTTCTGAAGGCTTCTCAAATCTCTCTGCCCTCTCCATTTAGCACCTACCTTAGCATCCTCTTCACTGAAGAGCGAACACCATGGGGAGGTCACATTTTTTATAGCCAACTCGTATGAGCAAGTGAGGAAAGCCACTTGTACAAGATCTGCAATAAATCCAAGAAACCAGCAGAAGATAAAACCACCACCACAGAACTAGCAACTTTCTCCCAACTCTCCCCTAAAACAAGTAACTACAATTCAGTGCTGAGAACAATCATCAGTCCAAACGCCAAGCAACAAATAGTTATTGTGCAGAATGCAAATTCCAGACTGTGGGCTCTTCACATTACAGTCAGTATGATGGAGAAACAAACCACCACATTCCACACTGATGCACATGTGATGGGTGCCCGCTGCTGGGATATCCTTACTACCACAGAAGGCAGAAGAGGGGCAGGTAGAGGTGTGCCTGCTCACTGCGGAGCAGCCTCTGGCTGCTGCTCTCAACCTGCACGCTGCTGGCGGGGTTTGAGCTGCAGCGTGCCGTGGTTTTAGGACTGCATCTTTGGGGGAATGCTGGAAATGACAACAGTGCCTATGGCCGGGGGCTTCCTGAGCGCAGGAAGCGTGCTCCTTCTGGACCAGAGTATAACACAGACACATCCACCTTCCCCTTCAACTCTCTGTGCGCCTGAATGGCAACATTTCACAAATGAAGAATTAAAAGATAATGCACTCGTAACTCAAAGCAAAGGTAAAGTTGAGCCCCCAAAACAAAGGCAAAGCTGCTGCCTTCCGCTCGTCTCTAAGGAAGATACTTCCAAAGGTGTTTCCTTTCTGCTGGCTAACAAGCACGCACTACTGCAGCCCCACACACCGAGAGCCGCACGGCTGCACCTGGTTCAGCCTGTGCTTTAAGCACGAACTCTGCATAACGCAGCGCGTTCCGCGTCACGCCGAGCACAGCGCACCCGCGGCTCCCATACCTGCGTTCAGCTCCGCGGCCGGCAGACACAGCGCACTCGCCACCTTCTCCAACACCTTCCTCATCTCCGGGCCCTCCTTGAAGGCGTTCACTTGGTACATGGCCGTGTCGTTGTCCTCCACCAAGGCCACGAACTTGTCGCAGTGATCAAAAAACCTCATCAGGGCGTCGTTGACTTCGATCTCGGTCTCTGCAAGGGAAAGCGGCGCTCAGCGCGGGGCTCGTTCCCCGCGGGAGGCGGAGGACGGGACAGAGGAGAACGGGAACGGCTCGGCGACGGAGGGCCGGCCGGGCACAGCGGACCGAGGGCGGCCGCGCATCCCGCGCTCACCGTCGGCGCCGAGGCTGAGCGAGGGCCCGAGGCCGCGCCGGAAGGCCGCGCCGCTCTGCAGGCAGCGGTGCTTGGAGCTGCTGGCCAGCGCCAGGCGGCGGCGGGCGGCGAAGAGCGCGGGGAAGCGGGCGGCCAGGCGGCGCGCCAGGTGCTCCATGTCGCGGCGGCCCCGCGGCGCCAGCCGCCCGTCGAGGCTCTCCTCGTACCACATCGGCCAGGCGGCCAGCGCGGCGGCGGCGGGGCAGGACGGGGCGGCGGCGCGGCGGAGGCGGCCGTGCAGCTCGGCCAGGCGGCGGATCTGCCCGGCCGTGGGGTAGCGGGTGCCGTGGCGGAGCACGGCGCGGAGCTGCAGCGGGGCGCAGGCGGCGGGCAGCCGGGCGGCGGCGGCGTGGGGCCCGAGGGACAGCGGGTCCTCCGCCAGGTGCGGGTTCACCTCCTCGTAGCGGGACTTGGTGCCGAAGTAGCCGCCCAGCCCCGCGCTCGCCACCGCTACCAGAAGCGGCAGCAGGCAGGCGACGCGGCGCGGCGCCATGGCGGCGGACGCAGGAAGAGGAGGAGCGGCGCGGCCGTGCGGCCCCGGGCTCCTCTCGTCTCTCGTCTCTCGTCTCTCGTCTCCCTTCGCCGCGGCAGCCGCGCCCCAGCGCCTCGCCGCCCGCCCGAGAGCTGGAGGGCAGACTGGGGCGGGGCGGGGCGGGGCGGAGCCGCGGCCTCAGGGGATTTGGGCGGGCGGGGCGGTGCCGAGGGGCTGGTGCCGTCACGGTGTGCCCGGAAAAGTGCAAAGGGGCGAAAAGAGGCGTCCCGTGGGAAAGGCTGCCCGACTGATGCAGCGGGGGTGAAGCAGCTCGAGCAAAGGGAACACCGCATGAGCAGAGCTCTCCTGAGCCTCTTCTGCTCCGGGCTGTATCACCTCAGCTGCTTCCCATAAGACTTGTGCTCTGCACCCCTCTCAGCTCTGCCGCCCTTCTCGGGACGTGCTCCACTCCTTCTTACAGTGAGGGCCCAGCGCTGAACGCAGCACTGAGGTGCGGCCTCACCAGGGCTGAGTACGGAGGGATGGATCACCTCCTGTTGGCTGCGCTGCTTCTGCTGCTAGCCAGGATAAAATCACAGAATCACTAAGGTTGGAAAAGACCTATAAGATCAGCCATCCACCCATCATCAGTGGTTCTTGCTAAACCATATCCCTCAACACAACATCCAAACGTTCCTTGAACACCTCCAGGGAAGGGGACTCCACCACCTCCCTGGGCAGCCCATTCCAGTGCCTGACCACCCTTTCAGAGAAGTAGTATTTCCTAATATCCAGCCTGAATCTTCCCTGGCGCAGCTTGAAGCCATTCCCTCTTGTCCTATCACCAGTTACATGAGAGAAGAGGCCGACCCCCAGCTCGCTACAACCTCCCTTCAGGTAGTTATAGAGAGCAATGAGGTCTCCCCTGAGCCTCCTCTTCTCCAGACTGAACAATCCCAGCTCCCTCAGCCGCTCCTCATAAGGCCTGTGCTCCAGACCCCTCACCAGCTTTGTTACCCTTCTTTGAACACGCTGCAGGGCCTCAATGTCTTTCTTGCAGTGAGGGGCCCAGAACTGGACACAGCACTTGAGGTGTAGATAGAGAGAGATAGACAGAGGCTCGAACAGTGCAGGCAAGCCTTTAAAGCTGATAGAGAAAGGGGGAAGAGAAGTGTGGGGATAAGGAGGTGTTCCAGAGCTCTGGGGGCTCTGTTAAACCACAGCGCGGTGCCGCGGCCATCTTGCCGTGATGCTGCATGCACTGTTTCTCGGTGGCTTGGGAAAGGAAACACAGTAGTACTGCAAAGTCAATCATCTTGTTGATGGAGGCTTTGGTTTGAGCCTCTTTGTTGTGAAAGGTTAGTCCTCACCAAGTGTAATGGAAACCTTCAGGGTATGTTGTAGAATTTGTTAACAGCGAGGATTTCATTCTGTGTGTCTCACAGGGACCTGGCTAATAAGGGATCGGATTTGTCATCTCTTAAAACCTAGCAGCAAGTATGTCACCTGTCAGCAAATTAGCCTCACTTGAGAAGTAACACACCTGGTTATTCTGGTTGCAGCTACATCTCAGTTGCAGGGCTTGGTACTTACCTGGGTTTCTTGCTGTTCACAGCCTGCTCATCTGGGCTTTGCCTTCTATGATTCCTGAAGCTATACTGAGGATCTGAAGAAGGGCAAACAGTCCTATGGTGACTCAGAAAATGATCTCCCCAGTAGCACATTAAGCAGATAAACAAACTTAGCAATTGCATAGGCATTTTGGTGGTTACGGAGATGTTTTGCAAAGGGCTTGAATTAAGCACAGAAAACATGAATGTTAGTCTGAGAAAGTGTGGTGAATAGCTAGCTATTAAAAAGAAATGCAGTCTACTGTGTAACACGGTGGTAATCAAAGTCAGTGGGACAAATACAAGTGTGTTGTCTAGTACAGCTCATTTAGATGCAAACAATCCCTCAGGAATGATTCCAGGGAGCTTTCCAACAAAGCTGGGTTAAATTGGTAAGTAGGCATTTCAAGACCGGTGCAGAGAACTAATTTGGATTTCAGTTTAAAAAGAGGTCCAGAGGGAGAAAAACACAAATGCTTCCTCACGTTTTCAAGTGATTTGTTCAGTTTACATTTGGCATATCTAAGCACCAGTCATTTCCTGCATGTTGTCTTTTCTGACAAAATCAACATGACACCACCGACAGTACAATTTTCAGAAAACACTGCTGTAGGTTATTTTGATGCCTATTGTAGATATTTTGCAAAACACCAGGAAAAAAAATAGACAAATTCTGTCTTCTACATAGTTACTCACTCTAACAATCTGTAATTGATTTTAGTAGGCAAATGACTTTGCATATTATGGCGGTTTGTTCATGAGCTTAACTGTGTAAGAAAAAGAATACTCACGGAGTTTTTCATTGGAGATGGGAAATCTTCAGATGTACAAAGTTTGAAAATACCAAGTGTTAATTCCGAGAGTGCTTAGAGACTGATATATGATGGCAGTTTCCATTCTGCAAAGGGAATGCTATGTCACGAATTCATAGTGCAGACAGTTACCCCCTACAACGATTCCTGACGTGCTCCTGTCACTCCTATCCCTCTGGAAACACTGCATTGAATCAATCAGTTGTGTAGTTTTGACGTGTTTCAAAGGATTTTTTCCTATGCACCTGTTAAGATAGGGAAAAATCTTATCCATACCAAACTGTTCTATGAGAGGCCTTCCCTTTCTTTGTTTCTGAGATATTAAGGGACATAAAGGCTCACTTGTGTCCCTGGACTGATCTGTGCTGCTTATTTGAAAATCTGCTCACAGAATCACAGAGGAGATTTCCAAATGCTGAAAACATTATTTATATGATTGCACATGAAGCTGAGCTTCTTTCAGAACCTCTGTGCAAAGCATTTACCGCCTTCAGAAATAAAGCAAGACCAGATGACTCGGATGCTTAATGCCTATGCAGCCAAGTCAAGGTATGTGAACATCATTGCTCGGATGGTTTTACGGTGAGTCAGAGACCAACTGGCCAAGGGAGTTAGAAGCTGTGGTTAGTTAAGTGCAACCCCATTCTGGGTGCTGAAAATAGCATTTTTTCTCCTTCAAAGATTTTCCTCAGATTTCCTTCCCTGAGAACAGCTCCACTTCATACTCCACAACTCTGGACTAAGAGTTTCCACAGCAACAAAGGCACCATTTTCACCCTTCATAAATGTTGTGATGCCCCTTGTCTTTTTTTATGTTTAAATGGGGAGCATAAATAAATAAATAAAATCACAACTATGCCCACCCCAAATCCTTTTATAACAACATCGAATTGTTACCTCTTTTGTTGTCCTTCATCTTTCTTGCATTGTTTCTCTGTAGGTTCAAGTATGATGATGCTGTGGCTGGTTAATTCATGTTATGTTTCCATTCACTAGCTTTTTTTTTTGTCAGTTTCACTATAGTCAAACCAGTGCCAAGGAACTGACCTGCATTATTTCCTTTTTCTTAATGTCCTGTGGATTTTCTGTGTAAGCACATCAAATTTCTAACCAAGCTATATCTGCAATGCAACTGGGAAAGTTAATGCACTAAGCTCTTCTGAAAACACCTTTTCTTATGAAGCCGCCTTGTGCCTCAGTGCTGCTGGGTGAGATGGTGGCATCTAGAAGCCCTCTGCCAGTTGGCATCACATTCCTGGCGTGTCATCAGTGCTGCTCAATTTGGGTGCATGTTTTTGTATTCTAAGTGCAAGATTGCTTTCAGTTGGTGACACTCACAGATCCTCTGTGCTTTTTTTTTTTTTTTTTTTAGAATTTAAGCTCTTCAGAGGCACCTTCTCTTATCTTAGGGAGTCCTTTGTCTTCCGTGTATATGAAGATGATGTATATATGATGATGATATGGAAAGGGATGGGATTTTCCTTAGCTGATGCCACATTTTGGTTGGCGATCTGAGAACTGGGAAAGGAACAACGCATACACTGCTAATTATTGCTTTCCACAGAAAGTGTGGAGTTCAGATCTCATCCATTCTACCCTAATGGAGAGAGAGCACCCATTTCCTCATACATCTGGCTGCACTGCAGTTTTCGTGCCATGCTGGTCTAGCGCTCGCAGGACTGCAGCCTGTCAATAGTTACCATGACTGGGCTGCTGCTTCTGGAGATCTCCTTTCCAGTTCCTTGCTCCCATTGCCAAAGGTCATTGGCTACTTTAGAGCTGCTCACAGCATGATTTCTTTGAGGCTGAGATCAGAGGCTTTTCCCAGAGCAACCTGAGGTCTGCTTCTCCATCGGGCTGCTTCATTTAATGGTTTATAACTAGGGTGGAGTCATCCAGCCTTGACCTTGATTAACCTTCAGTTTGCCTACATCCCTAACTGTGTTTATATCTCTGTTCTCGTGGCCTTTTCCCACCCTGCTGTTTCAGTTAGCTGCTCAGCAGTTGGGGTATCAGTCCAGTTTGGTCACAAATGGAGAGGACAGTGCTCTTGGAACCCCTGGGTGTTGTAATATGCATAGGATCATGGCTCGGGTCTCTCACTTCTGGCATTACATATTTAAAGTGCTCAATTGATGTGACATAGCTGCATGGGACTCAACGTCACATGGTTTGTTTGCCCAGAAAATATAGAAGCCTTAGGGCTCCTAACTGCTTTGACCTCTTTTCAAGCAGATTTTCTGGTCTTCCATTATAGCTTCACCCTGTGTGGGCAACTATATCAGGACGGCAACCCCATAATTAAGTGGCTTGTCTTCCCGGAGCACGTCAAGCCCTTCCAGTTCCCATACAGCAAACACACTGAGGTCATGGAGTGGCTTGGAAATGTAGGGATAAATTCAGAAACCCTCAGAACCCAGCCAAGCTGAGTTTTCCAAAAGAGTCAAGATACATAATAAGTTTCTTCTTCCACACTGAGAAAACTCACAATGTAGATGTGTGTCAAATATATGGAAAAGGTAAATTGCTGGATTTTATTTTCCCCAAATAGCAAGCAAACAAACAAACAAGCAAACAAACAAAACCAACAAAAACTGAAAAAAAACCAACAAAATCAAAACCAAAACAAAAAAACCACAAACAAACAAACAAACAAAAAAACCCTAC